CGGGCATCGGTTGCCTGTGGCTGGGCAGGGCAGCCCGCTGCTGGTGCCTGGCTGGGCCCTGCGCTGCAGGGGCGGAGTGTGCGCAGCGCCCAGCACAGCCCGCCTCGCTGCTGAGGTACAAGTGCTGCACGCGCCCGTGCACGCGCCGGACCGGACTCGCGGAGCGGCGGGACCGCGTGAGAGACAACACGTGCCGAGGCGAGGGGCTGCGCTCAGCAGTCAGGTTAAGCATGGTCTGCAGTGTCCGCGGAAGTAGCGCGATGGGGCCGTGCTAGCGAGGACTTAGAGGAGTGCTGGTTTGGGTCGTTGGCTGTTGCGTTCACACTAGATGAATATGAGCCAGACAATCCGATTTGAAATTCTCCCTTCCTGTAGACAAGCAATGTACACGTGCCGAGGCGAGGGGCTGCGCTCAGCAGTCAGGTTAAGCATGGTCTGCAGTGTCCGCGGAAGTAGCGCGATGGGGCCGTGCTAGCGAGGACTTAGAGGAGTGCTGGTTTGGGTCGTTGGCTGTTGCGTTCACACTAGATGAATATGAGCCAGACAATCCGATTTGAAATTCTCCCTTCCTGTAGACAAGCAATGTATCTCTTCTTGAACTTGTCACTTGAACTTTTCTTGAAGGGAGAAAAACTGTGATTAAAGTAGGAGATTAAATTATTCAAGAGACCAGACTTTATTCAGTTCTGCCACTCACTTCCTGTGTCACCTTTCACAAAGCCTTGATTTGTCTTTAGTTTTCTCCTCTGTGAAATGGAAAGAGTAATAATTGCTTACGTCAAAGGGATGTTACAAGGTGGTATTAGAGAAAAGAACAATATAAGTTACAATTAAGAGATACAAGTGTAAAGTATTATCTTGCAATTTAATGACGTGATATTTGACATATATTCTCTTTTTATAGAATGCAACAGAATTACCTGCAGAGAAAGTGGATGTTTTACCTTCAAAGCAGAGGTTCTCTTTGTAATGACTAATGTAAAAATGTTTGCAGAGAACTTTTAACTGCAGCAGAGCATCCTGACAGCCAGGGAGGAAGTTTTTATCTGCACAAGCCATAGAAGAAAAATCATATTTATATTAGCAGTTTCACTGGATGAGTGTCTGCGTAGTTGTAACTTTGGATCTAGGCTGTGATTTATTTTGTTCATACTTTTGTGAAAGATGGCATTTCAATTTAACTTCTCTATTGAAGAGAATGAAGAAAATGAACTAGAGACTCTTGGTGTTTCACCCTTACTACTGGGCTCTGCACGGGGGTCTTTGAACTCAGACAGATCTACAGAAAAGAGCGAGGAAGTTTTATCAGAAGAAAAGGTTGTGTCCAAGGAGTCTCTGAGTACACATGAGGCAACACCCAAGACTGCTGATCCAGTAGCAAACTGTAGCTCAGACAAAAGCCAAGTCCGGGTGCTGCCAAAGAAACAAACTTGCTTTAAAGTTGCCAAAGAGCATAAAATTCCTGAAGATTTCAGCAGAGTATTAGAAAATAAAGTTCTGGAAGCTGTACAGGGCTTATACCATGTAAATATTTCTGTGGTGGAAATGACCCTTTCAGATGACTTCCATGAAGAAGACATCGTATCTAAAAGTATTTCCTCTCACTCTGATCTTATCACAGGCGTCTATGAAGGGGGACTTAAAATCTGGGAATGCACTTTTGATCTCCTGGATTATTTGTCAGAAGCTGAAATGCAGTTTCTCAACAAGACAGTCTTGGATCTTGGTTGTGGGGCAGGGCTGCTGGGAATATTTGCATTAAAGGGAAAAGCTGAAAAAGTCCATTTTCAGGATTATAACAGTACTGTGATTGATGAAATAACCTTGCCTAACGTAGTGGCTAATTGTACTGGTGGTGACGATGATGATGACAGAATTAGTGAACCTTCTTCAAAAAGACAGAAGAAAGCAGACTTCATACCAGCTTTAATGTCCAAGTGCAGATTCTTTTCTGGAGAATGGACTGAGTTTAGCCAACTCATGTTAAGTGACAGCAACTCCCTTTCAAAGTACGACCTTATTCTCACATCAGAGACCATCTACAATCCTGAATACTACAGTGCTTTGCATGATACACTTTCTAAACTATTGCATAAAAATGGCTGTGTGTATTTGGCTAGCAAAGCACATTATTTTGGGGTGGGAGGTGGTGTGCATCTCTTTGAGAAATTCATTGAAGAGAGGAATGTATTCAAGACTAGAACTGTCAAAGTTATTGATGAAGGACTGAGGCGGTACATTATTGAAATGGCCTTTAAGAGTGCCAGTTAATCCACTCATTCCCTATTGTGCCTGATAAATAATAAAGACATGATGTATAGCCAGATGTCCTGCTTCTTTTTTTTTTTCTGTTGAGTAGTTCTGAAATGTGTTGTAGGCCAGGCTGGTTTTTTTCCTTCTTTGAGCTGGAGAAAAAGGTGAAAAATTCATTTTCACTAGATCATTGTATAAATTTGCTTTTCTTCATATGAGTTTTTAAAGTGTGTCAGAAGGTGTCAAACTGACAAGGCAAAGCACTTAAATTCTTTCTTATAAAACAGATACAAAAGAGGAAGCAGCGGTACAACTTTCTTCATCCATCCAGTTCTTCCCTGCTCCACAGGGACCACCTGTACAAGTAAGAGAACATAGTTTCCATTTCAATTCAATTCTTGGCCTGCCTGCTGGGGCAGGCCCACAAGGATTAATACTCTGTGGTTGTGGTGGTGACGCTGGTCCACTGGATTGGAACCATCTGATAGTAATTGCTAGCAATCACCACTCACCTGGGCTTGATTTAAAGCTGTACTAGAGTTGAAAAGTTCCCATCACATACCACTAATCCCAATTATCTAACTTCCCCTGAACCAAAAACTTCTTAAAATTCACACATGGAATTTGATTCCTTTTCAAAACAAGGAATGTGGGGAGGGGAAGGTGGTTTCTGGTTTTTTGTTGTTGTTGTTGTTGCACGCAAGTTGTGAGGCCTTACATTCATCTTGGTGATGTTTGCAGACTGGGCTTGTTCCACCGCTGAACTGCTCCAGTAGCACAGCTGTTGTGTATGGGTGCTCCTGATAGCAACAGGAGGGGTTCTCTCAAAAGCATAGTTATCCACCTCCCTGAGAGGCAGTAGCAAGGGGCTAGGTCAGCTTCACCACACTGCTCGGGGGTGGATTTTTCACAGCCCTGAGTGACACAGGTAAGCTGATTTAATTTTCAAATCTAGACCAGGTCTTAGTCTTAAACATGTTGTTAAATTACATATAGGTTCAATTTTACCACCAGAGGGCAATGTGGCCATATGTATCATTTTTATTGTGTTCTATTAATCTGATTCTGTAAATGCTTGTAACGTGCACATGTGTAGTTGTTATGGGACTTAGGAAAACTTTTGAAGGATTCATTCTATGAGAGGTACATCGGTTAAAATAATTTGGTGAACTCCTGATTTCAGAGCTGAAGGCAGTGTGTGTTTTACTGTTGATGTTGAAGAGCCAAGATTTCACCCAGTAAATCCCATAGAGTACGTCTAAACGACACTCTATTTTCAAAAGGAAGAGCAGTTTTTTCAAAAAACGTTTTCTTTCTGAAAAACCAAAACACATCCAGACTATTTTCACTTTCAAAAGATCTGCTTTCAAAAGTGAAATCGGAAGAAGATATGCAAATTTTGAAATGCTCTTTTGAAAATAGAGCGTAGTCTAGACATAGCCCTAGATAGCTCAGTGAACTTTCAGAAAAACGTTGATGCATACAGATCTCAAACTAAGGCCAAATCTACATTCAAAATTAAGTTGACCCCAGCCTATGTCACTCAGGGATGTGAAAAATACAAACCTTTGATCTTCACAGTTAAAACTGATCAAATCCAACAAATACCACCTCTTAGGGATATAGATTAACTACAGCAATGGGTGACCCCATCCTGTCACAGTAGCGAGTATCTGCACTGAAACACGACAGCCACCCCTATAGAACTGCAGCTCTAGCTTCTGCACAACATGAAACTGTGGCGTTAAAAGTCTTGGCAGCTTTGGTCTTGAGTTGTTGGACCTTAACACCACGATACAAGCTTATTTTCTGACCCTCATTCTATAGTTAAAATGGGAGTTCTTCGTATCAATGCATGGCTATACACTAAATCTAACCAATCAGAATCCCTAATGGGCTGATAAAATTTCTCTAGCTAAACCTATAGTTTCTACTTATCAACAAAAACAAGTTCAACCAAGAAACTGAAGCACCCAGTAAGAAACTTGCAGAAATTTAAGCTTATTTTGTCCATACTCCCATTTCCATGAATCTGTGATTTTAATGTAGCGATTTCCTGTTGGTAATGCCGCTGCTGCAGCTGATATTTTTCTGTCTACACCAAAGCTGGATTCTCCTGCCTCTAGTTTTATTTCCAGCTTATGGTGGCTAAGTGTACCAGATGACTACGGGTTATGTAAATATAGCTAAATCCTTTTTCTTCCCTCTGCTGGGATTCCTGATGAATCTTCTACCTGTGGTATCCAAGAGATAAAGTTTCCTCCTCTAAAATCCATTTCCTAGCCGATATATGTATAAAACACAACACACACACGCGTGCATGTGCTACTGTGGCTGCCAGATTTAGCAGAGAGGCCAAGATGCCAATCTGGACTGCACAAAGCTAACACTTGTGACTTTAATAATAACTAGTGATCACAATAATACAGATTACAGCTTTGATTTCCTTACAAGGATCACAAATATAGAACATGTTTCCATGCCAATGTGTCCCGAAACCAATAATGGGGAAAGAGAATCAGAACTGTTTCTAAACATTTCCCAATGAGCCTCCTCTGATGCATTTTCCCCTTTGTTTTTTGCCTTAAAAAAGATAACTGATACTATTGTATTGCCTCATTAGTCCCTGTGCGGAAAGTTGGATTGGTCTCAGTTCCTGTAATCAGCAAACATTCTCTTCAAAGGATGATAATCAGATAAGGCAAACTCCTTAGCAAAAATAGTCTCTCTGAAACTCGCTTTCCTGAGAGAATTTGGACAGGATTATAAGTCTTCCAACAATACTGATTTACTGGAAAGACAAAGCCAGACCGGATTTCTGATCATACAAGTCACACTTCCAAAACGTGAGGGTGGAGTGGGGATGAGTTCTGGGAATGGGCAGACGAGAAAGATGTACAGCTGCAATCTTCAGTGTAGTTTGCACACACAGAAAATGGTGGATGGCATAGAAATACATCAAGTTCCTATCAGGGGACATGGCTGGGGAACAAACCTCTAGATTTTATCCCCTCATCTTGTAATGAAAAGGTATGGAGAGGGGGTTGTGATGGAAACACTGGTTATTTGCATTCCCTAGCCAGAAGGGAGTGGCCATACATTTCAGATTTTGAAAAGATGATTTAGAGTTAGGCTTTTGAGTAATAAAGTTTTGAAAGTTTGGAGTGGCAGTGTTGCTATTTGTCTAACGGTGAGTCTACACATCAAAAGTTGTGCACAGGTTGCTTGAAGCCAGCTAGCAAGAACACTGAAGATAGGACAGAGCAGGCTAGTGAGCAAAGTACACACTTAAGGTTCATGCCAGGCTTGTATTTCCCATCTTCAGCATAGGTAGTAAAAGCCTGGTGTTGGCCCTGTGTAGTCACTTGGCTGCTAGCCTGCTCTGCACTGTTTCCAATGCCATTGTTACCTGTGCTAAGCGGATTCAAGCTCGTTCAGGTAGGTCAGCCATTGTATGGTTTTTACTATGTAGACATGGCCAGAAGGAAGAACGATGCCCATCTTCAAACCTCAGGCTCACCAGCCTCTAAAACCAATGGCTCAATCCATCTCCCTTGAGGTATATGGCTGCTGACTAACAGGAGCAGGGAGAACAGAACAGAACGAGAGCTAAAAAAGAATTTAGAAATTCCAGAGTTGTTTGTTAGTTTCATCTCAAATGACCTAAATGGATAATTTTATTCACCTTTGGGCCATGATTTGGAAAGAGGAAATTATTCATACTATGTCAATTCTCCTGTGTTTTTGTTGCCTGTGGTATAGCGCTAATAAAACCAAGTACTGAATCAAGCCTTAAAAGGTAGATACATAAAACTTCAAGGACATTCCAAGAAGCTGGGTAATGTAGAATTAGTGAGGAAATTAAGTAACGTGGAAAAAAACAACAGGGGGTTTTCATAAGGAAGTATATTATCAAAAAGATGCGAGGAAAAGCTACATGACTAGTGACATTTAAAATATGGGAGAATACAGCAGTAAGTCAACTCAAGGTTTGCATTAATTGGCTACTAATAAATACTTAGTGTGAAGCATAAGGCACAAGATCAGAGACTTGAATGCATTCAAGTATCTGAACATAGATTTACTGGCATTGCTTGGGTCCTTAACTCAAATAAGTTGTTTTTCTTCATTTAAATAATTGCTCTGGGGAGGCGGGGTTCAGGATGCAGGCTGCCCTGGAAAGAGAGGACAACCCCAGCCCTGTCTTGCCGCAGCAGCTTGGGGCCAGGTGAGACATACCTATCCATGGCCGCTGCAGTGGGCATAGCCAGGAGCATGCATATCCCCTAGCACACAAATAGATGCACAAACTCTCTGAAATACATAATTACTGTTCTACTATATAACTGTCCCTCCAACCAGATCCCTCACTTTCTAATGTTTTGAGAAAAATCAAATTCCAGGCACATCTCATTATCCTGCCACAACCAACACCTGACCTTGCTTTAAGTTATAAGAGGACGCTGCACATCACATTTGGTGGTCTTAGAAGTTTTTTAACAGACTCACAGACCTTTCTAAAATATATAGTAAGAGTTTTTTTCTAAAAGTCGTCTTAAAATAGTTTTGGGGTCAGGAGGAGGAGGAATTATGCATCTCTTCCATTATTGAAAAAAGTTCCTTGCAGAAGGATATGCTAAAGTAGATACATGGTTATAAGTACCATTTCATCAAAAGGACCTAGCTAGGATTCTTTCTTGCGTCTCATGCTCCCACTGCAAATGGACTGCATGCACTTCATTAGCTCAAAGACTTTGGACTCCACAAGGCAACAGTAAAGTTAGCACAAGAAAGAGACACCTTTATTGTACGCAACCACTTTCCGCTGTCTTGTGGCTCACATTAGAAAACAGTAGCAATGCACTGCCAATCTTTGTCCACAGCTCCCCATGCTCAAACAAGTTGCCATTAAAAGTAGATATGTCAGATTTCAAAATGTAATCAGCTGTCTGTGCTTTGGCCAGTAGTTTAAACACTGGCATTATAAATGGAGCTCTTCATATTCAGTCTTTGTTTTAATTGCTCAAGTATGTATAAGTGTTTGTTCTATTTTTTTTTAAAGTGACAAGGGTAAAAGCTGAAAATGAAGGGCAGTACGTGGTAGGAGGGGTGCCCAGTACCCACGGGGTGCAGTGGGTAGGTGGTCTCAGCTGCAGGGTGTTGGATTCCAGCAGGTTTTGCTCTCTCACTGTGCTGAGGAACAGAGGCTACCTGCCCCGTCTCCCTCAGTACTAGATCCCCCTCCTAGAGCTCCCTCCAGATCTGATCCTAACCCTTCAACATGGCGCCAGGACACAGAATCCTATCTGCTTCACTTGCCAGGCAGAACCCCCTCCTGATCTCCGCAATAGTGACAAGAGGCAACCTTCCGCTCTTCTTCTGACCCCTCCACCCATCAGCCAGGGAAAGCAGATGGGGCTATTTTGAAGGGCCAGATCCCCCTCCTAGAGCTCCCTCCAGATCTGATCCTAACCCTTCAACATGGCGCCAGGACACAGAATCCTATCTGCTTCACTTGCCAGGCAGAACCCCCTCCTGATCTCCGCAATAGTGACAAGAGGCAACCTTCCGCTCTTCTTCTGACCCCTCCACCCATCAGCCAGGGAAAGCAGATGGGGCTATTTTGAAGGGCCCAGTCCAGCAGAGGAGGTCAATACACAGTGCTGTGTTTTGGTCTCTTACTAACCCCAGCCTTTCAGAGCAGCCCTGTCCACTTCTTCAGTGCCACAGGGAGCAAGACGGGCAGGGAGCAGAGACAGCCCAACCACTGTAGCACCAGGCCTGCAGGGGGCAGAAGTACCACACCCCATGAGTACTGGCCCCCCCTGTCTTTCTTATTACACTTTTATCAGCATTTATGCACCTTTCTGTTTTGCTCACTAGGACTTAATTCCAATTTCTGAAGCATGGAGAACACCCATTCCATATTTTATTCAGATAAAGCTAACAGCAGTTTGTTTGAACACAATATAGACTTTCATTTAGATCAATAACTAGAGTGCAAACTATTTTGAATTTCAGATTCTGGAGTGGTTTTTCATTTCTTGTCATCTGACCAAGTGATTTCATAGTCTTGGTATACTTTTTTCAGTATTTCTACTGTCACTGCATGATCTGCTTTACCATATCCCTGCAAACAAGAGAACAAAAGATTTTAAAGGGATGCAAAATGTAAGACTGCAAGAGTATCTAGCTCCAGTTAGCACTCCTGTGGCCTTATTCTTCCCCTCACACAAGTCCCACTAAGGAGAACCAGGTTCTGTAGGCTGCACACTTGCAATATCAAGTCTTTAATATGTATTTCAGATCGTGACTTTCAGACTAACAATCAGATTACACAATAACTCTTTAGATTCACATGATGGAATAAAGCAGCTTATGGCATTTGCAGTTACTCCTAATGGTGTTATTCCTATGGCGTTATTCCATTTTCAGAACTACAATGTACCCAGAAATCATTCCCAGACAAAACAAAATTGAGTTAAAGCTGCAGGCTCAAACATGTGATTTAGATGTTTATTCCCTTTCAAGAATATCTGAGTTAAAACATTTCAGAATTAGAGGTCAGGAAAATCAGACTTAAGTTGCCCCTAAGGTATGGTCTCTCACTTCAGGTAATCACAAGAGCCTTACCTCTACTCCAGAGGCGTGTACAGAATTGTCAGGCGCTGCCGAGTACCTGTTACAGCTCTAACACTAAATACAGTTCTGTGGTTGTGGGGAAGCCAATCTCACCTCTTTGTTGTAGTTGCCCCCCCTACAACAGGGCATTTGTACCCCCTTCACAGCTGCATACTGTGGATGACCTCAGGAATGTGCAGGACGGGTCCCCCGTTGCTGGGGGTTTCAAACAGAGCCCTGAGGGGCTGGCGTCTTGGCACCTACCGTGGAGAGGCCGAACACCCGCATCTTCTTCTGCTGCGGGCGATGCTCGATTTTTCCGCCTCCCAGGCACTTGCACTCGAAGCCCAGCTTCTCCAGCTCGGGCCCGACTCGCTCCAGGATGTGATCTGCAAGGCAACCGGTTCAGAGCAGGGGCCAGGGCGCAGGCAGGGGGGCTGGACTGGGGGGAGCTCGTAGATGGGGCGCGCCCCCCCCATTCCCTTGGGGGGCAAGTGTCGTTAGGGGCCCGACCCAGACCCAGCTCTATGGGGAGCTGGGGGGCTCAGTGGGGAGGGGCCTGTGCCCCCCTCAAGAGAACAGCGTGGGGGGAGGGGAAGAAATAGATAGGGGCGGACCCCCCGCCAGGCCCCGCCCCTCGGGAGAGAGGCCCCGCCCCCGCGCGGCCCACTCACTGTGGAACTCGGCGGCCGCGGTTCCCCGGACGACGTCCCGGTGCTCGGCGCCGCCCGCGCGCTGCAGCCGCACCAGGATGTACTTGAACGTGCCGTCCGGGTCGATCTCCACCGCGGGCACCGACTCGAGCTGCGCCGCCATGGCCGCTGCGCGCAGGCGCCAAGCGCGCGGGGCTGGAGGGACCGTTACGCGCCTGCAAGGAGGGGGGAGAAGGGGAGCGTATGGCCCTTTATGACGTGCCATGAGAAGGCGGGGCCAGGCCCGTCGGCGGTGAGGCTGTTGGCTAGGTGGTAGGGGGCGGGGCTAAGGGGCGTTCCCGGCTCGTGCCGTTCGGGGGGGGGGTACGCCAACCGGTTCACGGTCCCCCCC